GGGGGGGGGGGGGGGGGGGGGGGGGGGGGGGGGGGCTTGTGGGAACACGCGTTTCGAAAATGATTTCATCGGCGCTGCTGCCGAGCAAGCCGTGCAAACCACGCTAACGCTAGCAGCAGATTCACGACAGGCGAGTGGTGGACGAGGGGTAAGGGGGATTGGAATATAGGGTTGCAAGAACAAGGACCAGCGCGTGAATGGGGGCGGGGGGGCGACGTGCGGAATACTACAAGTGAAACGGCAGCAATCGTTCGCCACAGTTGCCGAGGGTGAGCCGCAAGCCGTGCGCGCTACATGATAATGCCGCCACAGAACAAGGTGCGTGCCAAGAGATGGCCACAAACAGCAACCTGCAGCACACGGTGCGGGTGTTAAGATGGGCAAGACACACGGGGAGAGGTGGTGTCGTGGTGTCTACGGTGCTACTGGATGTACACAAACAGATTTCGTAGACAGACGACCACAACAAAACGGCTCTCACATAGCCCGGAGATTACGTTGTCCATGACGGCCTTGAAGACGATCAGCTGGACAATGTGGAATGTCAGCCCGTGCAGGATGTGCATGCCCGGCGCGTACGCAAGCCCGACAACCAGCGGCCTGTTTTCGGAGTCGCAAAATAGGAAAGGGGCNGGGGGGGGGGGGGGGGCGTACGTGATTGAGCCGTGGAAGCAGTCAATACACGGGGGTGGGTGAGGGCAAGGGGAACGGGAGAGAACAGGAGGGGAAGTCCGCGAGGAGTCGGGCTGGTGTAGTGTGATGACGCCCAAGGTTTACGTGGTGTGTGTGGCGTGCCGTCAAGTCTGTTTTCATCCCGCGCCAGAAGAGGAGCTTCGCCTGCAAATGGGGGAGTGCCGGGAGGAGGCAAGCACCGACAGCGCTCGACGAACTTGCAAGAGGGGGCGTCACTCCGGCGCGAGCGATTCCGAGCCTGCCTGCTGCGCAATCTCGAGCGGCCCAGGCCTGACAACGTTCCAGCAGCACTCCTCAAGCATGAAACCGCACCAAACTATCGCTGCAAATAGCGGCACTGGCAATGAACGGCTCGCGATGCAACGACTGCGCTGCACGTACATGGCACAGCAGCAACACATACAACTTTTACTCACAGGAATATCAAGGCGTTCGCGACTCCCATGTACCCCAGCACAAGACTCATCGACACCTCGTCGTCGGAAGGGCATAGTATTGTCAGGATCGTTGAATACACTCCGTACTGCACCGCCGTGAGGGAGAGCCAGACGGGGGGGGGGGAAAGAGGAACCGGTGACAGTGTTAAGATTTGTGATGCGCACTCCACGGGGCAAATAAATCGAGATTGAGACGACTTCCCATCACGCAACTATTTTCACTCTGTCAGAACGTTCCGGGCAGTTTCATGCAATCTGCTCAAACAACGATTGTGTTTTTGATCCACCACCCCTAGGGTCGCCTAAAAATATCTCAGGCTCTACGTGGCGCTTTCCCCTCCTTTCGGCATCGTACATGCACCTCGGTACTGCTGCGTGCAGAAAGCCAAAGTGTCCATAAAATCATGTGCTGCTTGCCGCGTGCAGAAAGCCAAAGTGTGTGTCCACAAAAACATGGAACAGCAGGTGAACTCGTTCATCACCTTTGTATTGCTGCGTAGACTCAAAGCTCGACAAATACAGAAGTAGTGACGGCGAGAAAGCCTAAGGTAAAACGCATCATGCCAAAACCAACAACCGGCCTTGTTTGCTGTACAACCAGGCATGAAGGCTAAAATGTACATCAGCGAAGAAATGCCGAAACGGGGGAATGTTTTGTGCTCGTAGACCAGAAACACACAACACAGATGCAACAACAGCAACAACCCTACTACAGACGGGCAACCGCAAAGGGCCAATGAACACCAAGAAAGGGTCAACATCAAACCAACACAACCAAGGCTTGCTGGGCTTGCTATTCTCGTCTCTGATGCCGGGGCATACAACCCATGGACTCACCCCTACAGCAGACATGAGCGCTGCCGCGTCTCCCCACAGCGAGTCGTGCGCGGCGTCGCCGTCTTCGTTGTCGCCCAAGCCCACCTGTCGCGGCCGTTGTTGTGTTCCACCGAAACCAGGCGCAGCCAAAAATAACAAATCGGTCGACTGCTTTACGGGCTAAGTGGTGTTTTCCTCGTGGCATCTGGTGCGCTACTGCTGTATGGTGGAGTGATCTCTCCATAGACTCGCAGAGGCGTGGCGGATACGGAGGGGAGGGGGCGAGCGAGCGCCGGAGGGCAGAGCACAGCGCGGTTGGGTGCTCTGAAAGGCGATGATATACGTTGAACCGTGCACATTGCTGTGTCTTGCAAGCAAAAAAACAAACCATCAAAAGGCAGGCAAGGAGACACGAGCACAAGCAAACGTTCTTTTTTCTTTTTTCTCCATGGGCTCTGTTTTGTTTGTCTTCAAGGGCTATGCCTTGTTTTTCTTCATGGCTCGTGACGCGCCGCCCCGCTTCCGCCGCAGCTCTCGCTGCTGTGTGTCTGCTCGTGTCGGGTGTGTCGTCTCTTAAGAGTTGCTGTCGCCGCAACCCACTGGGGCCACCACACGGAGAAGAGGCTGGAGAGAGGGAGGAGGGAAACAGCCTACGCATTCAGGACATTTTGTTTTGGAAAAATGCTTTTTTGTCTGGTAGGGGTCGACCGCGCCAGTTGGCTGATTGATCCACGAAAAACAGTGAGATCTTCTCCTGGGAAAGAAAAAAAAACGGCTTGTCGATCGCGGAGTCCCCATGTGCGCCTCTTCAATTTTCATCGATTGTGCTAACCCGGTTCACCCATGAAGAGACCCCCGTGTGCGTGGGGCTTTACAACGAGCAGGCTAATCGTCCCGGTTGAAGACAAAAAACCGGCAACAATTGAAGAGAAATGCACAGGTCTTTTCTGTGTTTGTGTCTCCGCGTGTGACTTGATTTGCAAAAACGACAACAGTTGAACTGTCTCCATTTGACTAGACTCGCAAAAACGGCAATAATTGAAGACACACGGGGCTTTCCCGTGTACATTGTGTGCGTATGTGTGCGACTAGACTTGCCATGACAGCCCCCAACAGCGCCAGGGCGACCCCGACGGTCTTCGTCTTGGTGAAACGCTCCGTCCGAGCCACGACGCTGAACAGGTACGTGAACAGGGCCGACGAGTTCGCGATGATGGTGCTGCTGGTGACGCTGGCAAAAAAACGGCGATTTTTTTTTTTTTTCCGCATAATTATTGACGGCAGCAAAAGAAAAGGAAGGAAAGGAGAGGCCCGTCGGTTGTTTGGCAGCAACACCACTCGGAAGGGAGGAAGGGAGGTCGGATCGGGGGTCAGAGCGCAAGGCACCTCGGTACATACTACTACCGTCAAGCCTGGCGACGGTGCAGGCGGGCAAGGGGAGGAACGTCGGGTGTTGAGCGAAACAGGAGCGCCTGTCGGAGTATTGTACATGCTAATTGGAGGGGACACGAGAGGTCAGGGGCTCGGGTGGCCTTGCACCTCGTTCGTGGCAAGCGCAGGCGGAGCGCAAGAGACACGCTGGTGTGATGTGACGCTTCAACCAACAAAGGTGACGTTTCAAACATGCAGGGGTCATTCCATGCCCGAGCCGGTCACACGGTGACAAACGGTCGGCGCCTCAGTTGCTGCTGCTGCTGCTGCTGCTGCTGTCGCTGCTGTCGATGTTGTCGTCGTCGTCATCGTCGCCGTACCACCTCCATCCAACCATTCCACCCATGACAAACCAGATGATTCTTGCAAGCCCAGCAAGCCATTCCCCACTTTTTTCGCGTGCATCGGCGAACAAGGCACCGGCGTCTCGAAACACAAAAAAAAAACGCAACTCGAGGGCGTATCGGAACACAAAAAAAACGCAACTCGAGGGCAACGGCGGGCGGCAGCCAGCCGTGGCAACGACTGTTTACAGCTACTGTAGACCACGACGACCACCACCAAAATACAAACTGCGCGACAACGAATTGACAGTAGGGGGGACAAGACAACTCCATCGGGATAAAAAAAAACGGCCCCATTCCTCGCAAGAGACCGTTGCGGTCTAGTAAAACTTGAAGTGATCACGTTGAGTTCGAATAAATTTCCGCGTTTGCAACGCCCGGTGGAAACGAGAGACTTATCTACAAAAAACAAAACAAAAACGAAAGCCTCTTGAGAGAGGACCACCAGCACGCTTTGCCCGAGGCAAGCTGCGATACAAAAAAAACGGCCCTGAGCAAAGGGGGGAGACAGAACCCTCCACGCCGCCGCATCACCTGGTGTACGCCAGGGAGGTGTTATACGTCCACTGCGCGAAGAACCAAACCAGCGACACGCAGAGACCGGCCTTGAGCATGAAGATGTGGCTCCGCATCCTCGGCTTCTCCGGAGAGTGATCTACATGTAACGTTTTGTTTTTTCGTGCGGGAGCGGCAACAACGAGAGACGGGGCATGGGCAAGCGAGGGGCGCGCGGGCAAGCGAGGGGCGCGCGGGCAAGCGGTCGCCGCGGCGACCCAATACCGGGACATCTGCGAGCGTATGGTCTGATGCATCGGTCGTGCCATCCGACAGGCCGAGACCCGACTCGAGCGGGTAAACTCTCACAACGACTACTTGGCAAACTTTGTGGGTCAACCCGGAAAGAAACTCCTCAGCGCGGCTCGGTGGCGAAGCGGGGATGGGGCCTAGCTGGCCCACCTGGGGGGTTGGAGCCGGGGGCCATGGTGATCTTTGCCTCATCATCGTCTTCCGGGCTAGCTAGCCCGCCTGGGGGGTTGCAGCCAGGGAAAACGGTCATCTCTACCTCATCGTGCTCGGGGCTAGCTAGCCCACCTTGGGGAGTGCAGCCGGGGACAACGGTAATGTCTGCCTCGTGGTCATCTTCCGTTTCTTCTCGCCCCGCCAGCTCTTTGTAAGCGGGCCCCCTGTCATCGCTCGCTGTTCCTGCTGTGGCGTTGGTTGGACGGACGGACGGACGGACGGACGGACAGACCATTAGCCGGAAAAAGGCCGAGGGATGGCGCGTGCGCGCGCAAGCAAGTTACCGCTTGATCGTTCGAGATTGGAGTGCTTTCGGCTGGAGTGTCCTTGAGATGGCCGTGATATCCATCCCGGCCGAAAACAAAAAAAGGCAGGGGCTGGGACGAGGTGGTGTTTTTTTCTTTTTTTCTGAATATGCAAATGACCAAACAAATCCATCTCTTACCTAAGAAAATAGTCCAAGATAGATTAGCAATGAATTCATAGCGTCAGAGAAAGCTACCTGTATTTCCACGGTTTTGGAATAAGGAGCGAAAAGCTGGTCACCTATCCTGTGACTAAAGGCTAAACAGTCGGAACACTGCATGCCAGCGAAGGAACATGAACCAACTATGGCGGCAAGCCGCGATTCGCCTGCTCTATCCCGGAAGGGAGGGTTGTGAGCGAGGCCCACAAAGGCAAGGCCGAGGTACGAGGGGACGAGGCAGGTCATGACCCCGCTGCAGATGTAGGTGAAGACGAAGGGCTGGTTGTAGCCGATGTCGTCGGCGATGAACTGCACGATGATGCTACCGGCGGCCCACAGTACCGACACCTTTATATCGGAATTTGAAGAGGTAAAAGTAGAGCAAGCACACACACACGTTCTCTTTTGTTATTGCTATGGACTCCAATCCGGAGAGTACTGAAGCGTAGACGCCCCCATGACGCTCGGTCATGGGGTCCCAGAATATGGCCTTTAGAAGCATTCTGTGTTTTCGACCGCACCGAGACTGACGTATTTTCATTGGTCAGCCGGTTAGCGCGGTCAATGTTACGAATAAAAAAAAGACACACACACGAGTGAAGATTGGAGCAACAACACACACACGCGCGCGTGGAGCAAAACAGGACTGTGGAAGAAAGGGGGAACAAATCTCAAATGCTCGTTCGAAACCTAAGGCAGGACTGGGGCTAGCCGGAACAACCAAAACAAATGCGCTTTGCCTGCCATCGCCCCAAATACGGGAGAAATTCAAGGCGGAACAAAAACCCGATGAAAACTTGATGGAAGGGGGAGGTGAGATTTGAAGAGCGATACTCAAAACCACCTCCGAAAGCCGCGATGCACCCGCTCCTCACTTCAGCGTTGTCTTCCTTATCGTCATTTTTTCTTTTTTTTTTCTACAGTAGTAGTAGCACACCGCCGTACTCACCAATATTATGAAGAAAATACCCAGCGCCCATTGCCGCTTCGATCGCTGTTCCACCGCTTCGCTCTCCTCCTCCTGCAGTATCGGATTCACCCTGTATGCCCCGGCTGCCTCATTTTCCGCTTCTCGTATCATCGGGCACACTACTTGCAGGAGAGCACCGGTGGCCGAGGGTGCTTGCGAGACCACCCCGCCTGCCTCTCTCCTCGCAAGGGAGTCACGAGGCGATGGTGCGCGCCCGTTCGTACCCGCTTTTGGGCGGGGATTGGGGACGGCCTACGATACCGTCGGAGAGTCCTTGCGCCGTGCAAGGGACCACCTTTGTTGGATGATCGGCAAGAGACGGCGTGGGAGGGAAGTGATCCGAATTCATCATTGCGGGTATTTCACGTCCACCACTGCTGTTCGGCCGTACGGCCGATCCCCAATATACTTTTGTTGAGCACGCATGTAGGCGATCGAAGTGACAGGCCCTTGCCCTGCGAGAGAGGCGTGAACTTGGGGAGGCGGCGCTCGTGCGCGGGGCGGGGGGGGAATAGGGGGGAAACCTTACCGCGTTAGAAATGCGTCTCTACCGAATCTTACCATCTCGAAACCGACAGGATTTGCCAACATCAAACGACGCGCGTTTTCGGAGTGATCTCTGCGTCCAAGGTTCTGCCAGCACGGCCCTCCTCTACACACACAGACATGGCATTACAAGGAGTTGTGGATATGTCGGGGCTTGAACACTTGGCCCAAGAAGTCGAAAGGTGAACGTGGTCACAATATTTGCGGCTTCCGCCGCCGCGCTGAGCGATTCGGGCTCAAGATACCCGTCATGCTGTGGGCGCATGAAATGTGTCGCACATGTAGCTAAGTGTGTTAGGTATGTCGGGGTCATTGTTCAGTGACTACGCTGTACGCATGGGTGCCAGCTGATGGGGTGGGTGAAAGGACTCCGACTTTTTGACTTGGATTGCCTTGGTTTGTACGTATGCATAGGACGGAATCAAACCACTTGAGGAGGCACCACCGCCCACAGTTAGGGGTGTCAAAGCGGCGGAATTTGGGGCCAAAAAAACGTCCGGTCCATTCGTCAAAAATTGAGGGGGGCACGCGGATTTGGTTCTTTTTTGGTTATTGAGAATCCCGCTGTTAATACTGAATAAACTATACATCAAGTCAATTTGTTTGTGCAGGCAGCTCTGCGTCCAGACAGCAGCATGGCTCTTCATGCTTTACACACACCTGGACACAGGTCCAATAGAGGTGACTGCAAGGTCGTTTTTCTCTTGAAGTTAAAAGGGCGGACGAACAACACCAAAAAACATGTTTTTTTGGGCTCTTTGCTCCACGCCCAAGGCGACCTTTGCTCCTCTCGTGAAAGCGAGCTTGCAGTCCTCTACCTTGGGTTTACACCTACACAGCACAACAGACCGCGCCCGAATCGCGTCAGCCAACCCCAAGATATGCATGTCCGAAAACGGCCCTTCAAGCGGGTCTGCGGCGCCAACCGCGGACCCTCCCCCCCCAAAAAAACGGAGGTCCACGACGTGCGGTGGCGGCAGGTGCGCTGCGCTGAATCTAAAGAAAAGCAAAGCGAAGTTTGAAGAGAGGACGGGGATGTCTGTGGCTGAGGCGTCAGCAGCAGACAACACCCGGCGCGCTATCGAGCGCGGCAGCATCATTGCCGCGCAGAAAGCGCTGGAAAGAACGAATGAGGAGCTGGCCGAAAGTAGGAGAAGTGAGGAAGAGAGCAAACCTGGTTGCAGCATGGCTCTGGAGTTTGCGCGCGAGTAAGGCGAGGAGCTCAAGTCGGAGCGGGCACGGAGACGCCAGGGCGAGCAGGAGAAACAGCAGGCCGAGCAGGAGAAACAGCGGGCCGAGCAGGAGAAACAGCAGGCCGAGCAGGAGAAACAGCAGGCCGAGCAGGAGAAGGAGTCGGCGGTGGCGGGACGGCGCCAGGCGGAAGAGAGAACCCGTTGAATAATCAGAGCACACACACGAGCGGCGCCCTCGTGCGTGTGCGTCAGAGGGCCTTTTCGGGAGATCCCGACGGTTCCGTGCAATTTCATTTGTTGGTCGATTTTCCATCAGCAAGATCCGAGGAGGCTTTTTCATTTTTTTTACCTGTAGGAAATTTCCTCTTTGACACCCCTAGCAGTAGTCTATAATAAATTGTTTGATTCAGGCTTTCTAAAGTGGTCAACCTGCCACGACGAAGAGCGTATCGACAATTGCTGAGTTTCGTTCGCTCAAAGAAGTATTTCGCCCAACACAATCCTGGAGATTGTCTGCCACGTTAAGGATACGTCACCGATGACATCACGACCTAAACAGCGCTGGCTCCAACCGACAACGTTGACCAGTCTTTCGAGAATCCCCCTGCCCACCCCACCCCGACGCAAGTCCATCAACTAGCAAGGCAGAAAAAGGATTTCTAACCAGTGGCAATTCACGCGAATGACGGGCGTGAGGGTGTGTCTTAACGGCGAATCCTGACTCGTATTTGAGGTCAAGAACTGAAGCGTCGCAGCCGGTCGCCCCGGTGGTCTAGCTGGAATACTCGAAACCTTCTAGAGGTCAGGTCAGGAGTTTGAATCCCGGCGTAAGCGAGATTGTCTCGCAAAGTGAGTTTTTCTCTCGCTTCCGCCCCTGGCCTCGTGGATAGCGCTAGTTCGTGTGACACAGAGGGAAGAGAGTACTGAAACTATTATCGCATTAAAAATCGAAGGCAAAGTACCGCAGGAGGGAAGGGTAGAGAGGGGCTCTTCTGTGTGACCACAGGTTAGAGTAAACGGCACTAGTGCTGTGAGTGCTGATTTGAAGTGAAGACAACAACAAAAAAATCTGTCCAAACCTGGGATTAAATGGAACCCATCATGAGAAGAGAATCTCTGAGTACACGGCGCAACAACGCGATAAACCCTCCGTTTAGACAGCTGCCGGTTTTGCTGTTGTCGTGGCCAGACCACACGGGAGCTAACGCGCTTGTGGCTCATATGCATACACCGAACGAATAAGTGGCGTCTGTGAGTGTACGCTCCCCCTCCCCTTCTCTCTCTGCCTCTTTCTCTCACTTTGGTGTGGGACCGAGGAAGGTGTGTTGTGTGGGATTGGAGGGGGCGGCACGTGCGTGCGGCGGGGGTATATGGTGCAAGATACGCATGCATCGGAATCAATAGGCGGAGAGGCTTTTGCTACCCAATCAAAACGAGAAATCCGTGCCTCTTCCGGACTTGAACTCGAATCTGGATGCGTATTCGGGATCTGATTTCCTCGCTACGCCACACCCTGTGGAGTGTAGCGGCCATGCCTGAGAGAGGAGTTGTTGACCTATACCTACATTAAGGCGGCCCAGCAGCAACTGCATGGGGCCTCAAAGCACAGCGCCTGCGAGGCGACCCTGAAGGCGATGCTCAAGGCGGCGCGGAAGAAGCGCAGCATCGCGAGGTGGTTGCACTGGAAACGTTCTTCGAGGGCTATGTACGGCAGCTCGAGAACAAGAGCCGTGAGGGGGATCAGACGGGTTTCTACAGGCACCTGAAGATGATCGACGTCGAAGGCAAGAGGTCGTTCACCTCTCAGAACATCAAGGACGAGGACGGCAAGGTCCTTCGGGACCCCTCGTTTATTCGCCAACGGTGGGCACGGTGGTTCCACAAGCTTCTCAACACCAAGTCGCCGACCATCGACCTGCATGCGGCTGACAAGGCCAAGCGGTGGCCCACGTGCGTGCCACTCGACGACATCCCATCTCTACTTGAGGTTGAGGAAGCGGTACGGGAAATGGCCAACAGAAAGGCCGTCGGGCCGGACGACCTACCAGCTGAGTTGATCAAGCTTTTCCTGGACGGAGATCAAGGTCTCCTCCGCGAATTCCACGCCATTGTCGTGGACGTGTGGCAGACTGGGGACGTACCAAAGCAGTGGAAGGATGCCACCATTAAAGTGCTGTTCAAGAAGGGGGACACGATGGAGTGCGGCAACTACCGGGGCATCTCTCTCGTCGCACACGCCGGCAAGGTGCTG